CAGTTGACACCACCAAGTCCAAGACTGACGTAATAAAGTAAATAGCCTCATCGATATGCAATGTAAATAGATATAAATAGGAGAGGCTCGATGACAGCTCCCTCGGCCTCCTTTATTATACTTGCGGTGAAAGCATTTGTGAAACAGAGTAAGGCCAGGCCTGTGAACCAGACCATCTCCATTTTTCCCTGCAAAGGACACTTTGTTACTTTCCCACTCCTCAGTCATGAGACCCCTCAGGGCACATGGCCTGCCCTGATAAAGTAAACTGAGATAAGAGGGGAACAGATATTCACTGAGTTGCAAAACCCCTCCCCAAGGCTTGTTTACTGTAACTGTAAAAATTAAGTTACAGATTAACCTTAAAGTCCCTTTAGGAATTCTTGCATACACACAAAGCTTCAAGGCGACCACTACAAAAACCCTCCTGGGCTGACGATGAACACCCCCGCCATCTTGGACCTACCGAGCAGGTGCAAGGACCAAAGCCCTAAACGAGTATGCACCCATGGAACAACCAGGAAGAACAGAACGGACCACCTCTAGTGACGCTGCCCTGCACCCCTTAACTCCTTTCCCTATAAAAGACCCTGAACAGCTCCCCTGGGGGGCTGGCTTTACTGTCACTACCCCCCTTACGCCTGACTCTATCTCCTCTTTTAATAAAGTATTACTTGCTTTACTGCTGGGTACATTGTTCATTTCTATGACTTTGGAACCCAGGAGCCTGATTCAGTCACTGGTGACAATTGGAAAGCTTTGGGCACCAGAGAAGACTCCAGCTGCAAGAGGCAAGTGGCCACTGGGACCATTTTGCTCCCATGTCTCTGCTGCTAGTAAGTCTCTCCTGGAGTCCCCAGCCTAAATTCTCACAAGGCAATTCTTTATCCTCTTTTACTCTCCTTTCTTCCTCCTTAAAGGGACTGCCGGACAACTACAGCTTAAACTCCTCTCACCCCGTGAGAAGCTGCTCCCTCTGGCCGGCAGGAACTTGCCCTGACAGGTGACTAGCAGAGGTGGGAAGCCCAGTACTGCACCATGAAGACCTTGCTTGAGCAGGTTCCCCCATCAGGGTAGTGGTGGGGATTCAGTCCCACGCCACGCAGTGACTAGAAGTCTGGAAGCCACTGAAATTCTCTTTACCTTTCTCTGATTTTCTGAGCCCTCCTGCTGTTTGGCTGGACTGTAACCACTACTATGTAGGTGCACCCTGGAGGGCTCCCAGCTATGCTTTGTTTCTGATTTTCCAAGCCCTCTCCTGCTGCTCTGTATAGATGCACCCTCCCCCGCTATGTTTTGTTTCTTTGACTTAAATCTAGTCAATACTTTTCTTCTTTGTGCTGACAACAGTGGAGAGCACTGCTTTTATCAATTAATGCGTCAGTGGAATGGGCTGGTCCTGCCGATTGGGACTAGGATAAAGTGGACCCCACTGCTCCCCTTTTCTCTTTGTTTGCTTGGTTAGACACTTAGTTGAGTACCGGTAACCTGAATAAACCTTCCAATCCTTGCACCAACTTTTGGATTTTTGAGTCATTTGTTTAGTGCAAGAGGGCAAGCTGAGCCTGGTCTGTCGTTAACAGTATGGAGGGACCACACAGACTGTAAGAAAATGTGGACTCTGTGAAACTACTGAGAGGGGTGGACAGGGTCCCTATCTATCTGCCTACTTGCCTACATATCTACCCACCTATCTATCTACCTATCTCTATCTCTATCTATCTATCTATTGTGCAGGTAAAGTACATCCAGAGGCCATCAGCCCCACCAGGCAGGACTGTCCAGGTGCTATGATGCCAGGCAGGACTGTGCTGTCCAGGTGCTATGGTGCCAGGTATGTTAAAATTCTCACTGCTGGTCTTCCCTCCCTCCCCGCAAAAGACCTACCTCCTTCACCTGTTCTGGTCAGAGCTAACTTCCTGCAACTTAAGAATTAAAACCCTGTTAAATGCTAAATACCAGATATTTGCATCATAATACATGTCAGACACCTCCCACAGAATAGGTTCTAGCTGGGGGAGAAGCAAGGGCGGCACATGTGCTGGGGTTCCTGAGACAATTGGGGAGGAAGGGGCCACAGGGCCAGTTGTTCAAGTCCCCACCTTACCTATTGCCATCTACGCCTCTGCTTTGATTTCTCTTGCCTTTTGAAAAAAAAAGCAAAAGAAAATTTCTTCCTGTAAAGCAACACTCTTGACTCAGAATGATATTTTGTTTGGCAGGCACTCTGCAGACACTAACCAGACACAGCCAACTGGTTTGCTGGGTCATCCTCTAAGGCTTTAATATTCAACTGCAAAGCTATCAGCAAGCATTTTGATGTTAGGAACAGGATTTTCTATTTGGAAGTATTTGCATTTTCAAGTCCAATCAACATCATTCACTATAAATACTGAATCAAAACTACTCAAATTATAATCCAACCTAGGGTTTTCACAGTTATACCTCATCTTAAGAAACAAATAAATAAAACAATTAAAAAAAAACAAAGCCTCTTGAAAGATTTAATCCAAAATAATCATCAATATAAGAATAGGTATCACCATTTTGCAACCATCACAGTAATTACTGATTCAGGCAAGAATCACTGAAAGAAACTAAAACTATTAGGTAAAAGTGTGAGAAAAACAGGATATTTACACAGTCTCAGACTATCTCCCCACAGAAAATTTATTCATCACAAAGGGAAATTGCAGATACCACCTTAACCAAATAATCAAAATTAATATCACTAATAATAAGACAGACATCACGTCCTTCCTGATGTAATGCACTGTGGAGAAAAAAAAGAAATAAAGAAACCCCAAATGACAAATACTTCACAAAACAACTAGCCGACAATCTTTAAAAATGTCAATATCATACAAGACAAAAAAAAGGCTAGGAAACCCTTTCAGATTAAATGTGACAAGAGATATGACATGTAAATGCCATGAATGATTTTAAAAAGTGCTATAAGAGAAACTATTAGGACAATCAGAGAAACTGTATATGAACTTTATATTAGGAAAAGTCATTGTTAGATCTCCTGTACTTGGTAATTATACTATGGTTCTGTAACAGAATGTCTTTGTCCTTAGGAAATAAATGCTAAAGTACTTAGGGGTGAAGGTCATGATGTCTGCAACTTACTCTCAAATGGGTCAGCAATAGTAACCATTAGTGGCATATTGTGCGTGTGCAGGAGAAAGCAAGAACGTGCAAATATCAACGACTGATGCCTCTAAGTGAAAGGTATAGGACAGTTCGCTGCACAATTCTTGCAGCTTTTCTATAAGTTTAAAAGATTTCAAAAGAAAGGATTTTTTAAGTTGGAAAAAGAGTGCCGTAGTTTTCAAAAACCATTAACGGGGAAATAGAAGACAAAATGTTTTAAAACTTTCAAATTGTTTAGAAACATATAACTTTGAACCACTTAAAAGTATAGAGGCAAAATGGAAGTATATTACAAATGGAGAGGCTGGAGGTTATCAATAGCATGTGTTTAACATTTTTTGCTAACCTCAGGAGGCCATTAGTCTCTCTTGGCTACAGAGTCATGACACATTTTTACTAAGTAAAGGATATAAACATGGAAAGAATGACTCCCCACAATTGAGGGGAAGAACTACCGAGCCGAATTAAGGTTGGTGCAGATTTGCTGAGTCACTCCCTCTTAAGAGGAAGGGCAAACATTTCTTGTTTCCAGAAGATCAGAGATTGTGAGAGAACACCTGAGTTCTCAGAATGAATCCCACTACATAAGTAGTAAACTAGGTCTGGAGAACCTACAGCCCATTCACTCAGTGCTTCCACAACACCACAGTACTTCCAAGTTCAAAATCAGTGTCAACTTAAACCTCTTGTTTATTTCAACCTTCACCTTACTAGGCTCCTGGGAGGATACAGTGGGACCATGTGCACATTTATCCTCTGACCTTGAGTGGGCAATGACCTTGGTTTTCTTTGGCTTGTGTCACCCCCAACGTTCCTCAGTCCTGACCCAAACCTCCTTAGCCTCTTTAGTTTAGAACCGTAGCTTTCTGGTAAAGCAGCCTTCACTCCTTGAAGCTGCCTCTGTGCCAGCAGCACACACACGTGGACGGATTAGGCAGAGCTGTGCTGCAAAGCACACACACGCTCTCCCAACGTGTGCTTTTCATTCCAGAAATAGTTTATCCCTACACTGCTTCTATGCCTCTCTTGGCATGCATCAGTACAAGTGGCTTTCTGCCAAAGGAAGTGTCTGTTTAGAGATGTGGACTTTCTTTAAATTTCTTTACCTCAAAAGATCATAAATAGAACATTCTAGCTTAATTATTATGGAATAAAGTAGAAAAAGGGAAAGGTTATGGAGGGGTAAAACATTTGTTTTGTCTTTGTTTTTTGTTTTGTTTTGTTTTTTGTTTTTAAGTTGCCTAGAAGAAATACTGGAAATTTAAGATAAAACATAGAATTATCTCCCAGGAGAGTAGAAATTACAGAGTCCAAGTTAGGACAGGAAGTGAAAATATTACCTTTAGCAGGAAAGGTTAGTGAGCATTTACCATATTCTGACACATATATTTATTATTGTTTTAAGGTCACTGACCAAAATGAGGTACAGGGAAGGGTTCTTTAATTGTCATTTTATTCTGGAACATATAGTATTTTATTTTTGTACCTTGCTTCTTTATGACTTTCATCCTATATTCAAAATTAATGTATGAAAACCCATCTTGTTTAACTTACCTGTCCTTTCCCTTTCTCTATAGCCACTTCCCAATATTTATTTACTTAGGTTTCACTCATAATAAGCAGTGTGCAACGAACAACTCCTCACAGAACTTTTAGGCATCACCAATTGGATTACAAAACACTCTCTAACCACCTGGATATATGTACACACACACACACGAAGGAAAATCATGACATCAAACACTGTACATATGCACATGGCTGCCTGTTTGATTCCCATCAGTATGGACCTAAAAGATACCTTCTTGGAAACTCGGATCCTGGGCAGAGAGAGGAAGACTTACTTTCTCTCCACTTCTGGTGTAGACACGGCACTGCAGAAGCCAAGCGACTCCTACGAGAGAAGATTCGTAGCGTCAGTGCAGCAGAGCAGCAGGCTTCATCTGATTTGTACAGAATAAAACTTTTTAAAAAACACACAAGCAAAAATAGACGATTAAAGTCATTGTGCTTACTTCGATCTGGGACCGCAGCTGAAGTGACGTGGGGCTGGCATCGGGTTTCTCCTAAAACAGAACAGATGCTGGTTGAATAAGACTCCCAAACGTGGCACACACCAGAAAGACAAATAGACATGTAAGAAGAGATGGGAGGATTTGGGAAATGCTAGGGTATATGGTGGGAGGAGATGGTGGACATAAACAGATTTTCTCAAAAAAACTAAAGTACTTCTAAAGTGGAAGCTCTGGCCTCTTAAAATTGAGCTGTTTTCCAAACTTCACTGCTACACACAGCTGACAATTTTATGGCAGAAGAAAAAAAGCACCATTTAACTGAAGGCTGCTGACAGTTAATGGTGAAATAATTCTCTGGATATACATAGACCATCACTAAGACACTGAATTTACTGCAACCCATTTGAGTTTCATTTACTTTTCAATAACAAAGGAGTTCCAATCTGATTTTTAAATTCTGAATGTACTCAAGCGTATTTAGAAGGACTACTTGTAAGTGTCTTTAGGAAGTTGAAAAGCTAACTGAACGTTATCTTCTGGCCTAAAAATCACCATACTCCTATAATACAAGTTAACTGG